CCCCCCCCCCCCCCGCCGGTACGTGAGGCGGATGATCGCACGCGCCCTGCTAGAGGAATTGGACTGAATTTACCGTCGGGGGAGCTGCTGTATTCACATTGAACGGAAATTGTGTCAAGCAATCATAATAAAAAGTGAAATGCTCTGCACAGTGCGCCATGGCGTATCTCGGATCTTTGAGTAGTGCAAGTTTATTTCGAAATCTCGCACTTCATGCTTGTTGATGCGATCTCCGAGTTAAGTACTTCTCGACGGTGCGGAGAGCGATCTTTGGAGCCGTTAGCTTCCTCGAAAGGGGTTGCCTTAGGCTCGCATCCGGTCGTTCTGACTTTTGAACTCCGCTGTCGTTCGTCAGAACGGCTGGCCTAAGTAACTCGTTCGCGAGATGCGACCTTGCACCATGTGAAAACGGAAATGCACAACTGCCTCGTCCTCCTCTATGCCCGTACACTCCACTATCTGCAACTCGTCTCCGACTGCTAGAATGTAGCTCATTCTGGCACCAACAATGTCTTTAATGGCCTACGAGAGCATGTGAAGTTCACATGTTCAAGGTATGTATGATTGACAGAGTGCCCGACAAATACAACCCGGATGTGCGATGCTACTATGTAGGTCTGAGGGCTATTGTGTCTTTGAAAAAATCACAGGTGTGATTACTTGGAGACCAGAGTTTAGATGAAGGTTAGCACATGAGACACATCATCCCGCCATTGCCTTGAAACTCTTGTTTCGACTGCCTATATATTGGACAGTTTATATCAGAGGATCAATATGTCGTGAGACTGGCTCAGTGTGGCTACTCCGTGCATTGATGTCCTCCGTTGCCTTTCTAATGCATATCAGCGCAGACCTTGGCGGATGCCAAACGCTCGAGCACACTTGACTGAACCTCGATCACCACATTGCCAAGCTCATGCGCCCTTTACAAGAACACGCCATCTACTATGTCGGGTGCGGGTGCGCGCGATCAGCTCTGGGGGCTCTGTGTCCGCAACATCATCAGTCAAGGCCTCTTGTGGGGTTCGGTCGGCTTGTCGCCTGGGTTCGGGACTCGTTCGTGCAGTCAGCCAGTCATTAGGTATCGCTACCCAGGGTCTATCGCGGAGCTGCTAGGTGTATCATCAATGGTGAATGCTTACAGTGGCAGAGCTAGCAGCTCAAATCGCCTGGAGAACTCGGAGCACCCAGATGGTGTTGACCTCGATGCATACTACGCAACACTGGACGATAGTGGCGGTCATCCTGCGGCTTCGTTTGCACTCGAAACAGCAGAGGATGTGGACTTGGAGATGGATGACTAGTGTTAACATGCAGTATATATATCTTGTGGCTTGTCGCGATGATTCCCATCCGAGTCCTGGTGCTCGTAGAGTCCCTCAAAACCAACCCATCGATTTCCGAAGTCCGTTTTCACACAGTCCAAAGCCGCATCTCGTGGTTGTGTTTGCCCAATCGTTAGCACTGCACGCATAATGGAGTATTTCCGCCAGAAATTCTATCACAGTGTATGCAGAAATCCTCATTGGATTTTCTTTGGAAATACTGTAGAGATTCATAGAATTCATGCTGACAGCTGTCTTCTTGGACAGTTTTGAGAGAGATCTTCTAAGTATCTACCTAGTATATTCAGAGTGTTGGCACTTGAATTTTCATTGGAAATGTTCTAACGGTTGCAGTGTGGAACGCGTCCTGCGATTTCGTACTCCACATCTCCCTTTCTAGCGGTCCCCGACGACAACGGAGGACGCGTTGCAAGTCCAGCTGGCCCAGTGCAAGTCTAAAAGTCTCAGATGCTCCACGCGCAAGCGGGAAGGGCATGCTGCTTCGATCAGAACCAAAAATTATGTGTTGGGATGTGATGGAACATTTTATCCGTAGTACAATATGGTAACCAATATGGATTTGAGGTTTCTCAAAGCTATCGATCCGTAATAAAGGCACTCACTCTATCTTGTCGTCCCCGCAAATTTTGACCATGTTTTCAATTAATTAAGAAGTCGCTCTCCCGCCAGTCACCATGGACACTAAGCCATTTTGGTAACTCTATGCCACATGTGCACTATTAAAGCTTCGAAGAACCGATCCAACGACAGCTCTCCAGCCCTCAGTTGACCTGGGAGCCCACCTCTATTTCCCAAGCGCAAGTACAGGATAGTGAGTGTCGCCCCTCTCCTCTGGCTCCGTGCAGCTAGTAACCGCCCATTATAGCTTGGCTTTTTTCTGTTTCGCAGCCACTTCGACGTTCATTTCCAGTTTACGACTACCGCACGATCAGCATGCGTCTGTCCACAGTCTTCGTTCTTGCTAGCGCACTCCTCGTCGCCCCCGCCGTCCAGTGAGTGTCCGCCTGCTGCATGATTGTCCGGGTGAGGAAGTTCTGACCGCATCGGCACATAGTGCGCAAATTGGCATCAGGAAAGGGCCGCGGTTATTGCCGCCAACGCCACCCTATCCTTCTGCTTCCGGCACACCATATCCTGTTCATCCTCCTGCTTACGCCACAGGATTTCCTGTTCATTCTCATGGTTATCCTGGTGGCCCGAAGCGGCGCGAAGAGCGAGTGGCACGATGAGATTATGACGTCAGGCGCTACGAGCACGAGGGAGGTGGACGACATGACGGCTATGAGTACTTCCACGAGCATGAATTCGACCATCATCGGCGGCATGAGCGCGACGAGGAAATGGACCGCCAGTACGTGAGGCGGATGATCGCACGCGCCCTGCTCGAGGAGTTGGTTGGACCGAGTCTGGCGTCGGGGGAGCCATTGCTTCTACATTTAACGGAAATTGTGACAAGTAACAATAGAATAAGCGAAATTGTCTGGGGCTCACAGAATCCGCGCGACCGGGGGAAGACACATTGCGGTATGATCTAACAACAGATTGATGTAAATTCAGGCGTTGAGGAGATCTCTCATCCATGTAGACTGGTCTCTAGATCTGCGGGCGTGCCTCATTCGAATATTGGCTAGTCAGTGCGCGTACCATGTTTGGTGGTGGGAAAATGATTTGCCATAAAGCAAACAAAACTGCTCACTGTTATATCGACGAGAGAACAACCGTTGGATTTGAAAGGGGGGATACTAAACAAGATATGTATACTTTGGGGTGTTGGGCTCATATCTATGCAAAGGGCCACGAAAAAACTCCGGGGTCCTACCGGCCGTAGATAACTTGCAAAACAGTACATATTGTGAAGACATCAGCTAACGGCAGGCTAGTGGAAAGGCGTTAGTCTGTTATCTACCTTCCGTATAGAAAGCCGTACCGATTTAGGCGCATTCTTCCGTACTGAACTGTCTGAACCATACCGGAACAACCGCATAAGTCTGCCTTAGCCATAACCGCACTGTAACTACCACCGATATCCCGAGTCAGCTGACCTATTACTGTGGTACGCCTCGCACCCACACCTCCACAGCGTCCAAAACAAAAATATGGTAGGAAAGAAAGAAAAACGGCAAGTATCACGTAACGGCCTATGGGTTAGATCAATCCGGAGTGCACATCTTTTTACTGCAACCCGAAGAAACAATAAATTCCTCAACTCCTTGGCCACAGCATTTCTGTCCAGATTGCGAGGCCCAATGCTCAAAATGAGATCACATTTTGCACTTGTCAATCTATATTTTATGCACCTCAGAGTCAGTCGACGAGCGAGTAGCGAATGATAAACGTAACGGAGCGGTTCTAGTAAATGATCATTGACAAGTGCAGAGTGGCCTCAAGGAAAGTCGCGGAGAATGCAGATGTCGTAAGTCTAGAGGTCTAGAGGAGCTTGTGGTTTTGTTCTGCAGCGTGTAAGTTGGTTCAACTTCAATTAAGTACTCAAGTTGGTCCTCCCAGTCATTCATCGGCGAATCAAATGGACGAGCATTAAGCGAGCGCCTTCGGTCACGAGAACGATATCGACTTCCAAAACGGGGAACCAGTTGCGCGTCGCCCAGTGCAGCGCGAAGTGCGGCATACGCGTCCACATTCTTTGGTGAAAGACTTGAAGTTACAACTTCGACATGGTAAATTATTACATTTCGGCCGTGCTAACTTACTGATATCTCGTAGTTCCGCAACACCTACGATTCAGATAACGTCGTTTTCTCTCCTCAAGGACGCCTGCATCAAGTCGAATATGCGTCCGAAGCCGTGAAGCAGGGTTCCGCGGTCGTGGGGCTCCGTTCCAAGACACATTCCATCCTTCTGGCACTGAAGGTATATCTCAACTTCTAGCCTCTGAATCGGAGGCTCATATCGAGGCTCCTTGCGAGGGTAGCGTTCATTGGGCGAACTGGCGTCATACCAGCAGAAGATGTACAGGATCGACGACCATGTTGGTATTGCGATTGCTGGTCTGACCTCCGATGCTCGCGTCCTCAGGTATTCCTATGGCTCTCCTGTCGCTCCTTGTACATCCTAATGCTTGCCGTGCCCAGCAACTTTATGCGCCAACAGGCCATGTCCTCCCGCATGGTTTTCAACCGCCCAATACCCGTGAACCGCCTCGTATCTTCCATCGCAGACAGTCAGTCGCACGTATCACCTTTCCCAGATTGTTCTGACTGGGCCACGTCCAGAGGCACAAGTAAACACGCAGGAGTACGGCCGTCGGCCCTACGGAGTCGGCTTCCTCGTCATTGGTCAGGACAAGACGGGTCCTCACCTATACGAATTCTCGCCGTCCGGAAACTCATACGAATACTACGCTATGTCCATTGGCGCCCGGAGTCAGAGTGCGAAAACATACCTCGAGAGGCATTTCGAGACATTCGTGGACTGTACGTACCGTATGATCCCATGGTAGCGTGTGCGCTGATGGCAGGCACACCCATGGCAGGTAGCCTCGAGGATCTCATCCGGCATGGCCTGCACGCGCTCCGCGAGACGCTCCAGCAAGACAAGGAGCTTACCATACAGAATACGTCGATCGGCATTGTGGGTCCTGCTGGCGCACATGAAAAAGAGGTCCCCTCTGAGGGCAGTTTCCGCATTCTCGAAGGCGACTCAATTACAGTATACTTGCAAAGCATGGTGCCAAAAGGTACGGTCGATCCTGATCCGGAGCCTGCATCTGCGGCTCCCGCAGAGGGTGGTGAGGCTCCGCCACCCGCTGCAGGTACAACAGCGGATGAGGACGTGCAGATGGCCGATCAGTGATCAGCATCTTTGTATTTCAGTAGAATCACTCAATGTTTTTCAAGCATTGGCGCAATGTATATGATGAACGGGGATCAGATAAGTTACATGGGTCGTCCGGAAAAACTACGTGGTGATGTACGATAATGTGTCGCGATTTCCTATGACTTTGCTCTCTTAGCTAGCAAAGCCTGCCGCCATGCTCTTGCTGCAGCGCCAGGCCGCCGCAACGAAACCAACAGCTGAATCATTGTGGTGAGAAGCAGCACACTGCCCGCCTGGTGCGCAGCGGCGAGGGGGACGGGAACAAGATATAGCAGAGTGGAGATGCCAAGCAAGACCTGGACGTTGGCCATTGCAAATGCTGACACCGCCATGCGCTTTACAAGGGGCGGTAGCACAGCGTGCAGGGCCGAATAACGCGCCATGGCATATAAGCCTGTGGTTGCCGCATACGTTGTGATCGCCTGTGCGGGATTAATTTCGATGTGGAGTATCATTCGTGCGAAAACTCACCAAGCAGCGGTGGTCAAACTGAACTGTGGTAGGGTTCTCGAAGACGTTCCTCCACCACAAATCCGAGCCATCCGGAGCTTTGGCGTATGAGGCAGAGAAGAGCTCATCGGTTGGCGGCGCTAGGCGTCCGCCCATGAGAGGGAACTCGTTATATAATAATCCAGCGTCGAGACCAGCGACGAAGGCCCCTATAGTTCCACTTTAATATTGCCACCATCTTGTTAAGGGAATGCCTTACCTGAAATGGCAGTGAGAAAGACGAGTCCAGTCAGGATTTTCGAGTATCTCGCAAAACGTCGTACGAGAGGATGGTCCAAGGCGGCCTTCCACTGGATGTTGTCTCCCTTGTAGCCGCCCCATACGCCTTTCGTGGCGTATCGCCAGTCATACAATGCGGCGAGGCCTGTGCCGAACATCCCAGCATATAACACAAACGCAGTGCCCAGATGAGCGGCAAGGCGATATTGAGAGACACGCGGCACGGCTCCCGGCGTGTCCATGAGGGAGTCTTCCAGACCAGACTTGACCATGTACCACCCAAGCGCACCCTGCAGACCGATCAGGACGGCCATGCCAAAGAGCTGTCTCGGAAGCGTCGCTGTGAGACGTTTGCGAATGGCAAAGTAAGTGAGGGGAACAACGAAGGCAATTCCGATAAGGCGACCGAGGACTCGATGGCCCCATTCCATGTAGAAGATATCCTTGAATTCATTCAGTGTGATGGAGTGGTTGAGCCTGGCATATCGCATTTAGCCTCGAAGGCGCGTCCAAAATCAAAGACGTACAACTTGAACTCGGGGGTGGCCTTGTATTTCTCGAACTCTTCGTTCCACTCAGCCTCGGACAAGGGTGGTAACACACCAGTTATAGGACGCCATTCCGTGATGCTCAATCCAGACTCGGTGAGACGAGTGACGCCTCCAACCACGATGACAGCGAATACTAGGACCGAAGAAAGCAGAAGCCAACCAGCGACAGGAGGCGGAGACAAGACGGGTAGCTCAGCTGGGGCCGGAGCGTTGCTCGAGAAGAAACGCGGGTCAAACGATGGTCTATGGCTGGTACGCAGCGTGATGTGCCTATCCTGCATCCAAAGGGTAGAACGCCTCAGCACCTTGAGTGTGCCTCCAGGTGTCCGAGTTGCTTGTTTGCTCAGGCGCAATTGTTCAAGGACGCGCTTTGGGGCAACACTCGAACTATGCACAGCTCGAAAGCATGGCAGCCTCGGAGACGTTATCGGTAGAGTGCGAGACCGAAGGCTCAAGCCGCTAGTCCATGCGGCAAGGAACGACATTCCTCACCAGGACGGAAAAGATAAGACGTGGCAGGAGGAGGAAAGGGTCGAGGATGTCTGACTGAATCAGCCTTAGCTAGCGGTCGCCGGTCGAGCCTTTCCGCGCAGACGCTGGTCGGGACCTCTTGACCGATCACTTTCATGTTCTCGGTCGCTCTCGTTCGACGGCTTGCTGGAACGCGTGTTCCTCTCCTTGCTCGTGGTTATGTCGCAGCTCCTCAAAATCTCTCCGAAGGCGAGAACACAATCTACGCGAAATTGACAGAAAAATTCTCGCCATCCGAGTTGCAGGTGCAGGATGTCTCAGGTCGGTCTCCGGAGGATGGGTGAACGCGCTTCCTTTACTCATACGAATGCACACGCTAGGAGGATGCGGGACATTCTATCAGATAATTATTGCAAGCGAGGCCTTCAAGGGCGTGTCCACAGTCAAGCAGCATCGGATGGTCAACGAAGTTCTGAAAAAGGAAATAGAAGGCATTCATGGATTACAGGCAAGTGCATTTTCTCCCTCCAGCTGCACTTCGGATTCCACGTATAAATATTTTAGCTCAAGACTAGTGCTGTGTAATCATGGGCCCACTGAACAGGTGAGTTCTAAGGAGCTTTCTTGGGTACAATCTACCCTCTAATCCCACCGTTCCTCTAGTGGTGCATGCGATACTCGTGCTCATCATATATGGTGCAGGACTCATACTCCAGAGTTTTATTTGTACATAGCGTATCGTTCAATCGACGTCCGTGATTGCTACTTATCACATCACTCGAAATGAGGATGTGTTCAGGTAGGCACACATCGCTAGCATGACGGGGGATGCCGAGGGCGAAAGGCTTCCCCCGCAACCCAGATGTTCGGCTCGTCTCGGCCGCTATCAAACCCAAAGAAGTCTGAGGACAATCTTCCGCGGTTTCCGCTTTCCCAAACATATTCGGGGCGTCCTCCCGCGCCCTATAGTCTCATCGATGTGCTTATATACTCCCGAGGAATGACCCTCACACAACCATCTTTTGTCCCAACGTTCACTGAGCGGCTGAAGCAAGATGTCGTTCACTGCCATTCGCGCTCCCCCAACTAACGTACGTACTTTGTCGCACATTGGTTGAAATATCTCATTCACGAATGTGACACGTAGCTCGACGAAATCGCCGCCGAGGAGCAGCGCTGTGTCTTTACCCGCTTCACGGCTAACACGGCCTGGACGTTGGGCAGCTTGATTCGCGCACGCCTGCAGCGCGCGTCGCCCAAGCCCGCAGTGGTCAACATCACTCTTGCGAACAGCGACCAGCTCCTCTTCCACGCTGCGACGGGGCCCGGCACAGGCCCGGACAACGATATCTGGGTTGCGCGCAAACGCCGCGCGGTCCTCCGCTGGAGCGCGAGCACCTGGTCGTTGCACAACAAGTTCAAAGGCGACGAGGCCACGTTTGCAGCCAAGTTCCAACTCGGTTCGCGCGGGGGAGATTATGCGATACACGGAGGCGGGTTCCCTGTGCGTGTGCGGGGCGTCGAGGGCGTCGTGGGTGTGATTGTGGTCAGTGGCCTGACGATGCAGGAGGACCACGAAGTCATTGTGGAGACCATCGAGGAATATCTGCAGAAAGTCGCGAACGGGGAGATCAACGACTAAATAGGTGTCGGAGGTGTAGTCATTATTTGTATCATAGGACCCATCGATGCACAGCGGAACCGTTCGCACGGATATGCTTATATGATCATTATTTTACAGTGAGAGACGTGCGCCGAATAACGCCTGGCAAGGCGTTAGATCAACACTCAGAAAATTCAAGATTGTATTGAAAGGCATATTTGATTCTTTTACTATCCCCATGACGATACTCAGTGATCTTCCTCGGCAGCTTTATCAGCTTAGTTGACGTGTTCTTCTCCCAATCATTTAGACCTGTTTCTTGAAGATGTTGTAGTTGTTGTCAACCGAACGCTGGGGCAAGGAAGTTACTTTACATAGAGTGTACGACTATAACACTGGATGCTCATCAAGCCGTAGGAAGAAATTTCCCGTGCTTGGTTTACCTCCAGTTGTTGGAGGATCTCGAGCTCATTCATATTCTCCCAAAGAAATACATAAACATACATGCGCACTTTTACACTAAGAAATACACAGGATAGGACGGGTCCGTAAATTCCATCACGAAATTAGTATCACAGAGTAGTCTCGACGCCTCCACCCATCAGCGCCATTTTCATCGTCATCAAAGCCGCCAGATGAATGGGCAACCCAGGATGTTCTTGCAACTTCCACTTGGAATACGCCAGAACAGCTAACGCATGATAATTGTGCGTTATATCCCGAAGCGTCTGCACCTCTTCGTCCTGTACCTCCACAGAATCTATCCGCTTTGGCATCATAACCTTCGGCGACGAAACCGAATGTAATCGGTATATGTGCACCATAGAAACTGCGGTATAGTCGGCCCCGGCTGGCACGCTGATCAGAGTGCTCGACCCAGTGACGCGCAGGTACGGCTGGCTGTGCAGCAACGGCTCCTCGTCTTCAAAATCGGAGATAGACGACGTGTCGGCTGAGCCTGGTCCGGATCCACATTTGATCACGGGGCTAAGAGCTGGTATGCACCCGAGCTCTCCAAGCGGGAAGACTGCATAAGAGGTGTACGCAGAATCCGCAAACATTGCACCCGAAGGCACACGAGGTGTGGAACGCGAATACGCAGCGGTATAGAGTTGAGTAGGTTTGGTCCCTGTCACGGAAGTCGGCGTAAGCAGCGTCCAGGAGTTTTGGCATTCCACAGTCAATAAAGTGACTTGGACTGGCGGGGCAGTCTCTAGGAGATTTGACATGGCTTGATCCAGGTGCATTATCCATGCTGTCAGAGCATGGTCTTTAGCAATCGAGGCAAACTCAAAGAGGTAAATAACAAACCATCCAATTCGCTTTCTCCCATGGTTCCAAGCTTGGCGACGACAATTCGCCATTCCACGTTCGCTCTTGCGGCAAATGCTCGGGAAAACGACCAGACTTGGCTGACAACAAACGACTCCACGGACTCTGTAGGCGTTAACCATACACCGAGCTCGTACTCTTCACCTCGCTCATCCACGCATGCCGCGAGAACCCATCGACCACACGGGGTTACATGGTAGCCAACATGCAACAGAGCATGCCGATCCACAACATCTAGGGAACTGGGATGCGAGTCAAGTCTGAACGTTACCATGTGCCCGCCGTTGGACCCTTGCCCTGAGTTAGTAGCAATCTTCCCCGTAAGTGCATATGCCGGGGCATGGAAGCTGCTTCGTATACGAGCACCAGAAGCACCGAGGATCCGTGACATCGAACGTTCAACCGGCTGCAGGATGCGATCATATACGCTATGGACGAATAACTCAAGGCCTCCGTGCAATGCTCGAGGGTCTGCGAGACCTCCTGTCGTAAATGCTTCCGGAACGAAATGGAAGAGAATCCCATGCCCGGGGTGTGCTTTCATTGTACGTTTGATGGCCGAGAGGATTTGACGAAGTGGCGTCGAGGTCAAGCCGACCATTGAGGGCGGCGTGACCACGTAAAAGACAAAATACGCTTCCGGCATGGGAGCCAGAGTAGCCACAAAGTTGACTGAGGGGCAGGGTCAGCAATAGATTCCGTTCATTACCCGTGACATCTCCGTACCCAGTGTCTTCTTGATTGAATCAAATCGCGTCGGAACTAAACCAGGCCTAACACATCCAGCCGAGTTACCAGCGGAGTGTGTTCCAAGGTTTCGTGCCTGCGTCCAGCATTAAATATATATAAAAACACACCAAGCGCACCAAACCTACCGAATACGCAGCAGACACTCTGTCAAGCCAATGTGCGATCTCCACTTCCCGCTCATCATTAGCGGACTCATAGAAAACGTAAGCATTGACATCCTTTTGACCTGCTCTTGGACGAAGTCCCAGTTTCTCCCAGAACCGTAAGGCTGTGGGGAGGACCTGTATGATAGAATCCGCTTTACCCACAGCCAGCACCGGAGGCTCCAACATAATAAGAGGCGGTGAAGTCAAAGGTCCGTTGACTTCGGGAGGCGGATGCTCTGGACCTTACAGTGAGCTCGGAGCTGACACGGGTTTGTAAGGAGCACCGTACCTAATCCGATTAATGTGCAGAGGTCAACAGTCGGTTGCATCCCCCGCACACCTTCCAGGAGTAATGCGGCTCTCTTCACATCAGTCTGCCAGACTTCAGCGGAGGGCCTAGGTACCACTGAGGACACAGCTGCATTGATCCGCCACGCATCGGCCCACGCAGAATTCTCCACCACCTCCCTTACAAGCAATTGTGCAGCAGCCTCCAACGACTTGGATTTCTCTGAAGCCGCACCGACCAATGCCGCCGGAGACACAGGCGTCGGAACTGATATGGGCACCGTTATATTGGCTGGAGGCTCCAGCACCATGCCCGGAGGTCGAAGGGGAGAGCAGAGAGGCAAGAGGCGCGAATGGTGGAAGTTTGTGTGAAGCAGGGTCGGACCCATGGGTAGATATGATGGTGGAGGCGTTGAAGGCCGAGAATCCGGGACTTGTTCGTCTTCGTCAGCCCATGGTTCATCGTCGTCAGACTCACCGTCAGATTTGGTCTCCTCGACACTTGGGGAAGGTGTATTGCTCTCCCACTCCTCATGTTCCCTCACCCAAGACGGGGACATACGGACGGGTCGCACACCCTGGGTAAAGCTCTTGCGCTTGACGCCAATCAACTTTCGCATGATACCAATTCGAGGATCGGTGGCGGCACTATATCGATCCCTCCAGCCGCCAGCCGGAGACAGCCCCGAGGACGGGAAGAACATCGCTTGTGCTCGCTCCACGTCATCCGGAGGACTCGGCAATGCAAATTTGCCGAAAGCGTATTTGCTGTCGTTGATCCTATGACTCGGCGCAAATGGTATGGGGTCGAAGATACTCGCGCCAAGACTAGGATAACCCAACTTCTGGCCTCCGGCATGGTCATCGTGGTCCGACAATTGCACTGTAGGTGTCGCCGGCGCGGAATGTGAAGAAGGCGTCTGCGAAGGAGATGGTGGTAACAATTCAGGTGCTGGGGGAATGCTGTCGAAGGCATGAAAATCGCGTGGAGTGAACCCTTCCGCTAGACCATGGTGAGACCATGCAGAAGACTGTGATATGCTCAACAGTGGAGGTCCAGGGCCTGATATATGCATTATATCTCCGGAGCGCTGAGGTGAAAAGCCCAGCGGGGCAGGTCCTGCCGCAGGGGTGAGTCCTTCACTGGCCTTTATCACGCTGTCTACCTGCATAGGAATGGTGGATATAGCTCCAGGGCGAGCCTGCACAGCAGGCGCGTCGAAGAAATTGAAGTCGTCGTCCGTGAACACGCCAAAACCGTCGTCCATATCAAACGTGTCCCCACCGCGATCACCAGGACGCGAATGGCTCAGGGAGTCCATGTTCATGTTGAAACCTATATCGTACTTCATGCCAATATCCATGAAATCCGAAGTCGTAGGCTGAGGCCAAGGCGCAGTAAAGCCGCCGAACGCATCATCGAAAGTCCCTATTGGATCTGCAGCGAAACCTTCTGGGGCTGGCTGCAGTACGCTGAGATCAATCGGCTCCGCGCTCAGGTGAGAGTCAGAAGGGATCAAAATACTTTCCACCGAATCAGGGAAAGGAGTCGCTGCGTCTGTCGGAGGAGAGAATAACGAGTTGAGTGATGAATCCTGGGACGAATCAAGAGTATGCCCTGTATCCTCATCCATTGGGACGTCGTCCGGGGGCGCTGGAGAAGATGTGGCTGCCGGAGTTATTACGGCTGGCTGCTCCGTCTTTGGCACATCCGGCGTGAGTTGCATAGTATTTGGCGGAGGCCCACTTATGCTCGTAGCTCGACCCCGAGCGCTGGCACCCTCCCTTTCTCGCTTCATGCGCTCGCGTTCGCGATCCCTGTCCTTGGCTACCGAGTCCACGTAGCCACCAACTTCCGTAGCAACGTTTTGCATCCCTCTGGCATATGGTTTTGTCGAGAGCGTCATGGTGCGAAACGCGCGCAGGGACTCGGCAGTTGGAGACGATGTCAGCGTGCGTCTCCGGCGTGATACTGGCGTTCGAAGGTGTGCTGTATCGGGAAGTCTAGGAGTCGCATGCTGCTGAGGCGTTGTCCTACCGTCTGCATATAATGGCGGTTGCACCTCCAAGTTGTACAGAGTTAGAGGCACGGCTGGTGGGGGTGGAGGCGGTGATGCCTGCAGCTGTGTGGGTAGCTCAGGGTTCCATGGCAGAGAGGTTCGCGCGTGAGGAGCTGGCGAACTGGGATGATAAGATAAACAGAGGCGGACCGGCCAAATGATGGGCATGCCCTTGTCCTCTCCCTGTTTGTTCTGTACAGAAAGCCAAGCAATAACGTATGAAGGTAATTGACCATCGCCACACACAGAGGCGGACGAGGTAGCAATGGATATTCCAGCCTCTATTGCGCCTTTCCAATCTCCGGCTCCTAAACCCATGAGAGAGGTTTCGAATTGACTAGTAAGTGCAGAAGTAGGGCCAGTGTATAAATGCAGGTAATGAGCAGGTACACCGTGCGGAAGCAGGGTTATCGGTGCTCCTGAGGGAAGTGGCAGGCAAGCATGCAGGGGTAAGTAGAAAGTTGGCCTTAGGACAGGATGCACTAGGAGCCGTGCACAAGACGAAGTCGTGGGCGGCTGAGATAGGTGTATTTGAAGCTGGCTGTAAATCAGTGGTCGGGTACGCGCATGGTGTTCCCAACCTGCACTCCATTCAGACGACGCAGGTGAAGGACCCAGTAGAAAACCGCCCCTTAGTCTAACCACTTGTCGTGCATCCGACCCCTTTCGTGAAGTACTCACGATGTCATCAATTAGCCTATCGCGCACAGCCGTCAAGAAGTAGTGAAAAGGCAGGCGAAGGGACTTTCGAGGTAAGAGATGAGCAGAAGAACCGCTCCCGTTGGCCAACCGCGATGGCATGAGACATTGTGGACATGGTTGAGGTTGAGTCGAACATACAGCTGAACAAGGGTAGATAGAGGATGGTATGAATGTAGATGATTCGGTTACTAGAGCATCAAGCATTAGTAAGTTGAATATTGCATAGTTGGAATGTCAAAGTGAAGAAAATATACAGCAACTCTTCGCCCACCTATAGGGCTTAAATCAAGCTCTTGCAACGGAACAGTAAATGCAACCGAGCGCACAAGCTTAGGCCGCAGATTTACCACAACACAGTACAAACGTTATGCTTGAACAGCGACCGCCTTGGAAGCTGAATCTCCGAGAAGCGCCCGTATGGGCACTGATCAGTAAAAACGATTGATGGTAATCAATATGGCCGCTTGTCCCTCATGACGTCTATGTGCTCAGGTCGTCAACATCTAGAACCAGGTCCGATGGAGGACTGGTCAAGATATTCCAACCATATAAGCAAGCAGTAGCAAACCGGGACGAATGCACGTCGTCTGCCAGTGGTGCAGACCCCATGATACAGTGCCGAACCTAATTAGCATGTGGGCACAATCTGTCAAGTTCGTTGACAACGTGTATTGCAGACCGTGGCGCTACTCCACCCAAGGGGGGCAGAGAAACTGCGAGAGGAAGAGAGAAGATGCAAAGGAAAAGCGCTCACATGATAAACCATCAAACCGCAACGCCTCGAGGAGGCTCTGCGCCGTGGAAGTCTGATCGGAGGACCCCAATGCAAAGACATAGAGCGCACAGGTACTTCTGGTGATGTGCACACTGGGTAGCAAGGAGTTGACGATACTGCGATCCGCATTGCCCGAAAGGGTTTTTCTGCGTGCAAGTTCAATAAGATTCAGGTGGTCTGCACTGCTCGTGTTCGTGGCGCCAGTGAAAATGGAGTATGCTATAAGAGGGTTGTCTGGC